TTATTAAAAGTCCTTTCCCTCCTCTGGTCAGTAGTTGCCACTCTTGGCAGGCTGGTTGTCAACTGCAGTTAGACTTTGGTGATGTTTTAATAGGGACGCTGCTGCCCATCCCGCGACCATTAAGTCCCCTTAGTAGCTACATATGCATTAGTTCTTTATACTGTGGTCCAACTAAAACAATAAAACGTATATCGCCAGATGATACAGTAACAACAAACGCCATCCAGCAGAGCGGAAACGCCAGTACAATGGCAAATCATTAGCAGCGAGGAGAACAAAGTTCCCTATATTTACAATAATTTACGGAGATTGTCAGTGGAAACGTAATATTTCCATCTCCCGGGACGCGAACGGGCGATAACGTGCGATAATGACGTGTCAGCCGCTACACGGTTGTTTGGATTAAGTTACAAGATTTTGACGTATCTTATAAGTTTATCAAACTTATATCGGCGGTTTTAGCCGTTTAATATTGATATCGGTATCTCCGTGTGGTCCTGGCATGAAATAGCTCACCAGTTTTTTCTTGAGAGGGCGTCGTAAGAAACGACTAAGGAAATTGAATTGATAAGGGATAAGCAGCACCGCCCCACTTTCATTATTTCATAATATCACCAAAACCTAATTGCGGTTCCCAACCCGCCTGCCAAGTGTAACAATTATTGGATAGGTCTCTCTTATGGGGGAGGCCTATATTCAGCAGTGGATAGTTAATGGCTGATATGGTGATGATGATGATTGCTAATTTAATAGTGGTTTATTTATTGAGCAAATAACTCACTGAGATTGATCAATGAGCTTTGATGTATTTCTGTTTTGTAAAAGCTTTAAAAGCTTCAAATTCCTCAACGGGCTATGAAGAGGGCTATGCTCGGAGTTTCTTTGTGTGATCCGAAACGAGGATATCCACAAAATAATTAAAGTAACTGACATAGCCCGAAGGATATCATATCAGGATTCTTATGGTAGTCTAATGGGGGAGGCCCATGCACAGCAGTGAAGAGATAAGGGCTTAGCTCATGATGACGATTTGTAGGAATTTTTCATTATCAAAATAACGTCGAGTGAAACCTAATAATATAACTAATATATGAACAGTGTGTGACTGTGATAGGAAAAAGCAATTCTATGCAATATTCAAAATATAATTAAAGAATCACTTCTAGTGCGTTTTGGTAAATGTAAAAAAAATATTTAATATTTTTTTGCGACATTTATAAAGATTTTCATCCTTGTTCATAGCTACTTTGAAGGAAATACGTAACGTTTTATTTCAATTTATTTATAAATTGATCTATACTTTATGCTAATGTATTTCACTTGAATTTTCTAATTGTCGTTGTATATTTTGATATGTTTGGTGCAATAAAAGGTTAAATAATTATATTAAAAAAGATCGCTGTCCGCTTTACATTTGCACCTTTCCGCCTTTACGGCTCAAGTTTCTTTATGAAAACAAATTACTATATTCGACCTAGTGCGTTCTTCCCCAAACGGGTGACAAATGTAGCTGTGAATAATAGTGCCAACATTAGATAGGCCACGTTGGGTAAATATCTATAAAACTAAATATACAATTGTATAGAAAATATGATTATTAAATATCCAATATCAAGATTAATGTTCCGATTGATCTGTTTATATATTTTTTTTTTGAAAATTAACCTTGCCTGCGTTATGGATATGCTGGCGAGGCACCAGTGAAGGATGATAGGCGAGAATGAAGCAGGTCAGTTGGCCTATTGTGATGAATAAATTAAAAAATAACCACGATGGTTTCCAGGGGGTAGTAGGTCGGCCTGGGTCTGTTAGATCTCACTACTAACAATCCCTGTCCCCTCCGTCTAAATGTAGTTAGTAATAATTATATTAGTTGTATATTTTTTTTTTTTATGGATGAAAATAGGACAATACTGTGCTGTCGATACGCGGTGACGGGGAACTAGTGAGGGATGATAGGTGAGGATGAAAACAGCTGATCACTTAGCCGATCGTGATGAATTTGCTAGGAATTAAGCACGATGGTTTCGAGGGCGACGCGTGGAAGCCAACCTGCCAGTGTTATATTGTTTATAAAAATACTTATATGTACCATTATTGACCTAAGTTTAATTTCTAATATATTATGGCCTATAAAAAAAATAGTCCACCTATAAAATACACCTTTTTTTTATACAACTTAGAATGGCAAACAAGCTGACGGCCCACTTAATGGAAAGTAGTAACCGTCGCCTATAGACATGAGCAGCACCATGGACATAGCAGAAAATATTGTTTCGCCCATGATACCACCCATGCGTTGCCATTCCTGAGGACTCAGGTATTATTCCTCTATACTCTTCAAACCGAAACACAGCCATGCAAACACAACTTTTTCACGGTTGAAACACGAATGGGACACAGTTACCCAAGCAATCGACTTTTGTACAAAGTCTCCCTCTATAGAAATATCTCAAATATTTCAAAACTATGAGATGAGAGTTCTCAAAAGTGTTAGTGTTGTAACTATTCTGAATAAGACGTTACGCCCTAAATCGTTTAAGTTAGCAAGTCAAGTTCGCGAAACTTTCAAATTGTTTTCACAATTAAATCTTCTGTTTCACTTTGGTTGAAATTAAATCTTTCACTAATAACATTTAACTGTCATCGACTTGTAAATTGTAAAAGATTTCTTTTATACAATTTAGAATGGCAACATCCTGACGGCCCACCTGATGGAAAGTGGTAACCGTCGCCGATAGACATGAACAGTATCATGGGCATAACAGTTTTGGTGAATAGTAAGATATGTAGAGGTATGAGACACCTAGTCTCATCATCACCAAGAGTTTTCGAAGAGTTTTGTCCGTACGCGGTCACCACTTTAGAACCTTTCTTAAATAAAAAGAAACACATCGGAGTATATACACCATGAGTGAATTTACAATAAAAAGGGTACAGATGTAATAGCACTTGAGTCCATCAAATTTTAAATTAGGAATGGCACAATATCGGAACAAAGGTACAAACACACAGACTGATAAAATTTCTTAAAAAATATTGTTTTATCGTCTATTGATTTTATTAAGACCTACTTTTTTTATATACAACTTAAAATGGCAAACAAGCGGACGGCCCACTTGATGGAAAGTGGTAACCGTCGCCTATAGACATGAGCAGTACCATGGATATAACAGAGTATACGGTTACGCCCATGATATCCCCCATAATTCCTGAGGACTCAGATGTTATTCCTCTGTACCCTCACGACGCCATACACCCTTCAAACCGAAACACAGCCATGCAAACACAACTGCTTCACGGTAGAAACACGAATGGGACAGAGGTATCCAAGCAATAGACTTTTGAACAAAGTCTCCCTCTGTTACATACTGCATCTGCTACATCTGCTACTTTAGTATTTTTTCTTAAATATGAGAGATATATGTACAAACATTTGGTTTAGTTATAATTTTTATACAATATATAATAAAAGCTTATATAGTAGATATTGTATTTATATACCATAAAATTAGATACTCTGGTTTTACGGCAAAAGATAAAATATTAAGTGCAAAATGAAATTGGTGGTTTCAACGACGTTAAAATTTGCAAGTAGCTCTGATAACTTAGTCTATGGTTTTCGATGTTCTATAAAGTTGTATATAGCTAAAACATGGTGAGATTGTAGGATTGTATTCCAGTATAATGAAATATTTATTTTCAACCAGAGAGAGACTTTGTACAAATGTCGTTTGCTTGAACACCTCTGTCCTATTCGTGTTTCAATCGCGATACAGTTATATTTGCATGGCTGTGTTTCGGTTTGAAAAAATGAAACTGGGTACAGAGGTTGGCGGGTAATATGGGCGAAACAGTATAGGGTAAAAGTGGGAGAGACGCCATACTTTTTGAAAAAAAAAAAAGGGTTACAAAAAATAAAAGCTTTTTTTTTTTTTTTTTTTTTTTTTTTATACTACTTAGAATGGCAAACAAGCTGACGGCCCACCTGATGGAAAGTGGTAACCGTCGCCTATAGACATGAGCAGTACCATGGACATAATAGAGTACTATAGTAAAGTTGTTTATTTTTAATACTCAAGGCAAATATGTTTAGCTTATTATCATAGCAATACTTTTTGTTTTGGACTGTATTTAAAAATAATAATGAATGAAAAATGAAAGTTAGGAACTGGCCATCTCTCCCACACAGTGTGGGTGAGATGCCACATGGTATGGGAGAGATGCCATTAGAGTCTTTGTACATGAATTACAATTTATTCTGTTTTTTTTTTTTTGGTGCGCCATTTCTTTTCCACAATTATTACAATGCGGAGAGTACATTGTGCATGACTAATGTAGTCATTTTTGACAAGAAGAACATTGAATCCAATCAACTTTTTTTTCGTCAGGAAATAATTTTTCCAGCACTCAATGCACACGTTATTATCATTTTCAATCGAGTTGGATGCATTTTGTTGTAATGATGATGATGCAGATGCACCAGCCAGCTTGCGCTTTTGCTTCTCCTTTTATTAATTTAATATTAGCTGTTTTCTTGTGGACGTTATCTGAAGATGTTAACACACAAGCAAATAGTTTTCTCTTCACAGTTGATCGTGATAACTTTGGTATTAGGTTCGTTATCTCTAGAATCTTTGAAGGTACAGTGTTGCCAGTACTAAGACGCCTAGATAAGGTACGAATTGGTATCTCATAGCGTCTTTGTGCCTCATTTTTTGATATTTCACCTTTTTTACCTTTTCCATTGCCAAACCTAAGTTTTCTTCGGTCCACTGACCTCTGACCACTATGTTGTTCCTAATATATTTTCTTGGCATACTGCATACTTGACATATGGCGTAATACATAAAAATAAAAAGAAAATAGTTGAACAATTACATAGTAAAAACAGCTCAAGTAAATGATGGCATCTCTTCTCAGAATGTGGGAGAGATGCCACATAGCTCAAACTATGACTAAATAAAAAAACATGATAAAATACTAAATTCTTTAATTAATAACACTTTCAGCAATATATTAAACCAACACATTGCTGACTCTTTGTTTTCATGAATTATGTTCACCGAAACCATAATTACACGAAACACGTAATTCTTAGCAAAAAAATTCTGCGACAAAACATTCATTCCTCAACATCCAGTTACGACCGCGTGCAGCCGAGCAGGTACTGACAAGTCTATGGAGAAGCGTCCAAAAGCTGTCGAGCACAGTAAGAAATATGCATTTATTTCTTTCCCACACGGAATTAGCGAGGGTATGGCATCTCTCCTCATATGGCGTCTCACCCACTTTTACCCTACTCAGGGTAAAAGTGGGTGATAGTTATAGGCGACTGTTATCACTTTCCATTAGGTGGGCCGTCAGCTTTTTGCCACTATAAGTTGCATAAAAATCTTTTTGGTTCGTTACTTCTTACACATGGATCTTAGAAGTAGAAAAAGAAATGAGCTGTTAATTTGGTTGTATTGATTGTAATTTTCACTGAAAATACAGTCAATATAAAGAAACGTCTCTACTTTTTTTTGATAATGGTAGGTAATATCCGTAAACAATGTATGTTTGACGAAATAACGAGACCTACATAGACTTTCGGTAGTATAACTAAAAAACGCGTCCAATATAGTGCAGTAGCTTTTGCGGATAAACGGATAAACAGATAAAATCTATTGGTATATTAAAACGCCTCATACTAATTGTAATATATAAATTGTAATATCTATATATACTTACGATATCTATATACGGTCCAATAATGAATAAGTTAAAAGTCTATCTTCCAAAAAGTAATATTAGATAACAAACTTCTAACATATTCAAAAATAGATATCCGACCTAGTGATGAATTTTTTTTCGCCATCAATATACAGAGGAACTCGATATATAGATATCGGATCGGTATCCATATCACCCATACCTAATACCATAGGAGTAACATCTGAGTCCTCAGGAATGGCAACGCATGGGCGAAACAGTATACTCTGTTATGTCCACGGTACTGCTCATGTCTATAGGCGATGGTTGCCGCTTTCCATCGGGTGGGCCGTCAGGTTGTTTGCCATTCTAAGTTGTATAATTTGCAAATAAACGTGGCGAAGTGTTCTTACGTTCAACTGAGGGTTTTACAAATTTAAATGTATAAAATCTTACATTAAAAAGACACGTGTGTAATTTTTTTTCAATAAGTATTATGATACTTATAAATTCATTGTATTTACAACAATATACTCTATCTGTTATTTAAATTTTGGATTCTAATATTATTAAATAAATTGCATTTTTATCCTCAGTTTTATGTTTATCAAAATCATTTTGCATCAATTTGCATCAATAATGCAAATAAAGAATTTATCTATCTATCTCATGAATAATTTTCATATATATGTAAAAATGCACACTATCTTTATTCTATAACTATAATAACTTAGATTTCATAATATCTTAAATATCTGTATATATTTGTAACTACGTAGTCGGAGCAAAATGTATTATATATTTTTAATCTTTACGGACATGGTTTTAGTTTATCCTCTAACATTGGTTTTACTTCTAAAGCTGTTCTCTTTATTCCTCTAATATCATCCTCTATATCTTGCAATGTTCTGTCTTTAGTTTCTGGTAATATGAAATATAACACAAATATAGTTAGTAACAAGCATACACCGTATATCAAATACATTCCATGCAAACCTGTTCTATCTATAATTACTGGTGTAAATTTCAATGTTATGAAAAAAAATGTCATAAAAGATATTCCCGAAACACTGGGCGCTAAGTCTTTATATTCTAAAGGAAATATTTCTCCCACAATATTGTAACAGACTGGTATGAGACCTATATAGGATACAAAACTTTGTAACATTACTATAAAAAGTATAATCCATATTGAATATGATGGAAAATGATATAACGACTTCAAAAATGATGTCAAACTTATTGCCAGCATGAGTACAGTTGATAATATTCCTGTAGAAAAAAGTACCGTCCGCCTTTTTAGATTGTGTATTAAAAAAACAGATATGATTTGTGCAATCGTTGTCGATAAATCAACAACTACCGTACAATAAGCTGCAGTAGCTTCGTCTTTTACTATTTCTCTCAAAATCTCAGTAATATACGTATAATAATAAACTCTTCCGGACGCATCTACAGCTAATATTAAAAATGTCGCCAAAAGAAAAGATTTGACAAAACCTTTATCACGAAAAACGTAAAATAATTTAAGTACAGCACTACACTTATTTCTTTTATTCTTTAGCGTTCTTCCCGCCTGAGCTGCTATTAAAATCTCCAATTCGTTCTCTTTTTCTGTCGACTTTCCATGCAACCAATAGAAAGCATATTGGCACTCCTCAATCTTTTCTTTTAAAGCCAAATACGATGGACTCTCTGGCCAATACCAAGTATTGATCATAACAATTACAGGTGGAAATACAGCGAATAAAGATATTTGTCTCCAGGTCCAATATAATGCAAGTGTATGACATGTTAAGATTCCTACTGACATTGCTACCTTCTTCATTGCTACTATATAACCTCTTCTTTTCGGGTCACAATATTCGCTTGCTATAATGCAATTAATTAATACTCCACCTAAAGTCAGTCCTTGGATTAATCTGGCGATGAAAAGCATGGTTACGCTGTTGGCGAAGAGAATAGTTAACCATCCCACAACGATTGTTATGTTTATACCAAAATGTGTCTTTCTTCGACCAAATTTTTGCATAATTGGTGAGAGTGTGAAATATCCGATCAATCCCGTGATACTGTTGCAAGACGCTGAAATAAGTAAATTTATATTAGAATTTTTAAATTACCTACTACATCTACTGAATAAATTAGTAATGTTAAATAAACTACTTAACATTACCAATTTATTAAGTAGATACCACAGCCAATGATTTAAAAATACTAAGATAATACCAAAGAATACTAAAATAATACAAAAGAAGGAAACTGTTTATAAATGCTAACCTGCCGGCGCATTTTCCAAATCCGCTCAGTACAATTACTTTTTTTTTTAATTTTAAGGGTTTTTACCTTCTTTGCGTATATCAGCTCTGTCGTACACTGAATTGATTTCTCGAAAGTATTATCTACTTTCCTTAAAGAGAGGAATTAATGGGTATTAATAATTTACAGAGATATTAAAAAATTTCTGATTTGAGTTCAGCTAATATATATTGAATAAGACCAATATTTAATTTAATAGTCCTCCACACATTCCTTAGTTTCACAAAACTAAGGAATGTGTGGAGGTTCAGCCTGAATAGTTTTACGCCAAATACCTTTTTGTTTTGAAATTTCGTTACAGTAGTGAAAATCTATGTTAACTATTATTTTGTGGTTGTATGTGCACGAGATATCAGTACAGAATAAGAAAATAGCTTGCATGGCGTTAAAAAAGTTCGAGTTATGATGTTTGATCATGATAATCTTCAAAACTGCTTAAATGATTTTAACCAAATTTTGAAAATATGTTTTATGTGCTGATTTGAGAGATAGGATTTTTTTCCTAAATAAATAAGTTTGATAGATAAATGATACTGATGTCGAGAGTTTGTATTTTGTTTTAAGATTACCTAACCAAGAAGCTTCATCAGGTGTAGCCTTGATGTCGGTAGTATTCGAAGATAGCAGCGCTGGATTTAAAACTGATGGAAATGTTGCTATCATGCCTTCACAAAAAGCATAAAACACGAAACCAAATGCTACAAAACACTGTAACAGGAAGGTAATTTACATTAATATAAATTATAATGAATTGTTTAATTTTTTACATGTAACTTAAAATGGCAAACAAGCTGACGGCCCACCTGATGGAAAACGGTAATTGTCGCCTATAGTGGAAATAATAGAGTATACTGTTTCACCCATGATAGGGTGTAAATTCAATATGGATTTAATTTACATTCCGCATATAAAATTGCTTTGGTAAATTATATAATATAAAAACTCAAGTTGTTTTAATATTTAATTTTCGGAGATGGGATACATCGTTTATCAGCATCATATTATATAAAGAATACGACTATATTACTTAATTTTTTACTTGGTATTCTTTAGTTTATCTTTAACTGTACAGTTAATACTCTTGTTCTACAGTTCATTACCATTATTCATACCATTCTACAGTTTTCTTTCAGCTTCTCAAAGGTTGACTGTGAGAGATCCCTTTATGGGATAAGTCTGCTATTATAAATCTTTTGATATATTCCGTATGAATTACGTACAATAAAGATTTTACAATACAATACAATATTACTATTGTTTTTAATTAAAGCCAAGAAGCAGGCATACTCATAATACACGAAAAAAATAATAAAATAATCATACCTGTCTAATCAAGTATTTGTTGCCCATTGTTGTGAGTTTGAAGCCATAAATTTACAGGATGACAATGTTGCGACACCAAGTATTGTATTGAGGCTTTTACTGAAACTTGAATAAAAATATCTTGTTAGTACATTGTTTTAGTAATAAAAATATTTGGCTAAATTAGCCTTTTTTAACAATCTCTCCAATTTGGTCGCTGACAGGACTGTCCATAAATGAGTGTCAATAAATGATTTTTTTTAATAATAAATATATGTGTATATGTATAAATATTTCAGATATTTTGTATAAAATGTATTATATTTAGTATTTTAAATTTGATACAAGTATTTAATATAAAGATTAATTTAAAACAATTTAATATTAGAATGTATGACATGTTAATTATATTAAGATTGTAACTTAACAGTTTCGTTATGTTTGATAAATACTGCCTACAAATACTTGCATACTATTCAATAAGACGAAACATGTTGAACATTAAAAACTAAATTGTAACATTTTATTATGTAACCAATGTCTCTGGAAAATAAATTATTTTTATTAGCATCATTTCCATGTGCATCTAAACTGACGTGTCTTTCTTATATACACTGGTATATTCATCTACCGCTCATCCTTTCAATATGTCTTTTGTAGCATCTTTTATTTCCCTGATCTAGTCACCGGATCCTCTTTCAAACTACATTTTTTTTCTAATAGTGAGAAATGTCATCAATATGTTATTTTGTTTTCTTCTATGAGTTTAATTCTTGATTCTGTCTTTTAACCAACTCATACACTTCTCTCACAGATTCTACCATTCGTTTCTTATGTATCGATGTTTTCATACATTATTGTCACTTACTTTTGCTTCATTCCAGCTAATAAGTTTCTAAATTTTTATTCATACTATGTATTTTAAATTTCATTCGCTGTAACCGTGTAAAAGGCGTTAGTTTTTTAATTCTTTCAATTTTTGAATCATGTTTGCAGAAAGTTGAGGCAGATATTAATCTATGAATGTGATACTGATCAAGGGGTTTTATATATGATATTATTTCAAAATTTCTTCCAAGCACTACTAACCACTTAACTTTTTGTTGTATTTACACGTTATCCTTAAATGTTCTACTGTGGAAAATAACGTATCTTACCTCATTTATAATCTTGTCATTGTTAATCGCTGAATAACAATTACTGCATAATTATGTACAATTGTATTTTGTACAACTTACTCGTTATCAATTAAACAAGTTTTTAATACCGATTAGCGATTCGCCAAGACTTCGCACTAGTAGACAGTGGAGAAATCACCAATTGTTTTGATAATAAAATAGTCTATGTTACTTATAATAAGCTTTGTAGTTTCCAGTATAGGATAGGCTATCCCTTCCTTTCCCGTGGTTATTGTAAGAGGCGACTAAAGGAGTTTATAGTGGAGGGATGGGAAGCAGTGTCCCTCTTAAAACATCACCAAAAGTTAAACTGCGATTGCCAACCCGCCTGCCAAGCATTGCAACTATTGGACAATCCCCCCCCTTATGTTATGTTCGGCTCAGGCTATGTTCGGCTCAGGCTATGTTCAGCTCAGGCTATGTTCGGCAGTGGACGGGTAACGGCTTACTTATAATGTAGTTTTCTACAGATGAAAGAATCTTAAAAATTAATTAACCATTTTTTGAGTTTTTCCATTGTAAATAAAAAATCAAATCTTTCCTCTTTCCAATATTATGTTCGATAAGAATAATTAGGGCATACAATATTATAATAATCTGTGATCAAATTCAGATCGAATACTGAATCTAGTTTTAATGGAATTTGATCTTGGATTTATTAATAATTAAAAAAAATCCGAAACCAAATTCTTTCTGGTGTTTTTGATTATGTTATAGAATTCTCTTCTTCGCCCATGATACCCTCCTATGCGTTGCCATTCCCGAGGACTCAGGTGTTATTCCTCTGTACCCTGTAAATTCACTGCCATATCCCACCCTTCAAACTGTTAAGAGATATCAAGCAAACGAAGTGACTTTTACGTTTAGTATTTTTTTTTTAAACAGCTACACATATACAGTAAGGACTAGCTTTTTGCCCGCTACTTTTTATACCTGGATTTAGGAAATAGGAATACCAATGAAATAGGCAACTTACAATGCCATATACTATATATATATATATATATATATATATATATATATATGGTTTTTAATATTTGTTAATTTAATTCATTTATAATTGTATTTACTGATATTGATCACAAATTAGGTTACATGTATATTTCTATAACTAATAACGCAATTTTTAAAATCTTTGTAATCTAGTGTTATTTAATTCATTATAATTGTTACTTCATTTTCTCACACTTGTATATTTATGTTAAAGTAAATGTTGTGAATACCTTTAATAGGCATGTGCAATAATATTGTGTTATATTTAATGTTTGTTATATGTGTTATAATGCAATATGCTGTTGGTGTTCCTTTTAAATAAATAAATAGAATTTTATTTAAAAATAAAAAGAGATTAAGATAAAGATATATTTGTTTAACAAAGTATGTTTGTGTTGGCACAGATTTTATCATTGCTTCCTACACTAGGCTGAGCCTGTCCTGTAGGAAACAGAATTCGTGTTATCATATACATGCATATAGATATTAAACATAGGCTTTTTAGCAGTACTGATAATTGTGTAACTAATTTGTATAATGCAATTATTTTATTTATAAAATCATCGGACACACAAAACTATTAATAAACTATTATCTCTATAAAGTTAAAATTTGGAAAGGATTTATGAAAATTTTAAGTTTAAAGCGAAATATCACACCAAGCATGTAAAGTGTAAAGTCACGCAACATATAAATATATAATAGATAGTTATAATTGTCGCCTATAGACATGAACAGTTCCATAGATATAACAGAGTATACTGTGTCACCCGTGACACTCTATATGTGTTGCCATTCCTGAGGACTAAGGCTTTAAGTCTCTATACCCTGTATCTTCATTGCCATATCCCATCCTTAAAACAGAAATACAGTCATGCAAACAAAACTGCTTCACTGCAGAAACACGAATGGTATGAGTATGAGCAACATATGCAGAAAAATGTAAAGAAGAATAAAAAAAAAAAAAAAAGAATAAAAAAATAAATAAAAAATGTAAGAAGAATTTATTAATAAATAAACTTAATAATAGTCGATCAATGATTAATATGAAAGATAATATAGCTTCTACTAATAATAGTGAGTCCTAAGTGTAAAATAATGGCAGTATATAATACATATACAAGCAGAATTAAACAAAAGTAATTGTAAAACAAAAACCTATGTAAAATAAATTGTAATGAATGTTTATGGTATGTATGGAGCGATTACTGATAGCTTTATTACTAATTTGCTTATCTAACAACGCGAAGAATTACGTGGCGCGTTTTTAAGAATTAAATAACAAAATTACTTGATGAACGAGACTTTTTGTATGTAACATGGAATGGAATGAACAAGATGATGTAAAGCAGCAATTGTTTCTTATAAAAACTTGTTGTTTTGATGTGGGTTAATACAAAAAAAAAAAAAAAAAAGAAAAAGTTAATAAGTTGTTTATGAGAATGGGCGTTATATTTTTTTTTTTGTTGGTTGAAAATGGTATGGTAACCCCGTCTGCGCTAACGGGATACGCTGGCGGAGCACCAGTGAAGAGTGATAGATGAGAATGAAAACAGGCCAGTTAGCCCATCATGATGAATTCATTAGGAATTAACCATGATAGTTTCCAAGGAACACAGCGAGGAGGTCGACCTGGTTGGGTATATTGCTAGCAATAGGATTCTCAGTCTCCATTACTAACAATCCCTTTCCCCCGTTATATGTTATTAGGTATGGCCTATATGGATACTGATCTGATATCTATGTATTGAGTTCCTCTGGACTGCCCATCTCTCGTCCTTCTTTAGTCGGCTCTTATGACACCCACTGAAAAGGAAGGGGTGGCCTATTCTACGCCAGGACCACACAGTAATTCAAAGTCTACGCAACTCATGTGCAAATCCAGACAATGCGACACAAATCGAAATTGTTCCGTCGTCGCGCAGTTTCAATGAAACTTTTAATTGGAAATTATCCGGGCCCCACATAACTGCAGTTTTGTTCTTTCTCCATCCGAACCATTAATGTGCTCGCTAAAAATACTTTCAGTTCCGAATCCGCACATCGGATCCAATTCAAAACTTTAATTTGGAAACAAAAGCAGGCAAG